TACATATGTTACATATAATTTGGCACCCAAGGCATATGCTAACCGATGAGGCCTCTGCTCCTGACCACATTTCCATTTTCTGAAAAAATAGGTCTTATGACAGGTGCCATCAAAGACACAAACAGTTGATAGCTTTGGCATGGCTGCCCAGGCATGATACTGCACGGTACCTGGGATTTACCTCTTACATAGCGATGGCTTGCTTAATCCCTCACCTACCCAGTTTCCCCTGCTTTTGGTGAACACCAATTTGCCTATCTCCCACTTACCACGGGATACAAGAAAAGAGAAAAAACTCCAGCTGAGCCTGCTTACAGTATCTGCCAGGTAGCCCTGCCCTTGGAATAAGAGTGGTTGTCCTCACCTGTGAAAAGTAATTTATACCGAGGACATGAGTGGAGGAATAATGCACAGCTGGAGGAAAATACTTAAATAGTGGTTCTGGTTGAAAAGTGAGGATGTACAAATGACACCATGTGTCTAGCAGAGCCTTTCCTTGTGTGCCTCATATTTGGGGACTAAAGTAGCAGAATGAGGTTTTGCTTTCTTATACATCTAAACCCAGCAGAGCATGGAGGTGGAGTCTGTGCCTTCTTGGTACAGTGAGTTGTTTTACTGAAATGCGTGAATCTGTCTAAGCAGTTTGCCCATCAGAGCAGCAAGGCTGTGTAAAAGCAGAGTAATAGCAGCAAGAAAACTCAGCTGGTGTCGGAAAGGCAGAGTGTGACCTGGGAATTTCAGCGGTGGGGCTGGACTCAATGACTCAGGAAGCCTCCTTAAGCCAAGCATCCCTGTCCTGAGAAATTAATCCGGATCCAGCTATACTGTAAAATCTGAGTCCCCCAGTAGCCAGGTCCCAGGAGTTTTCAGGACTGGTTATTTGGGAAGCCTTCTTCTGTCAGAGTTCCTCTCCATCTCCAGTCATTCACCAATAGCACTTTAAATTAAATCTTTGCCTTAAACCAAAACAACTTCCAACAATAGATGAAGGCAAAGAAGGGACCACTACAGAATTTGAAAACTTTGGTTCCTTAGTTGTATTCCTTGATGGGATTATGGCTCTTAGAAAGACGACGAGTTTATTGCAGTCAGCCACTTTCAATTTTACCATTATACTATGAAGTTAGTGACAAAATTCCCAATCCTTTTTTGGGGGCCAGGTTTGGGCTTGATATTTTGATGTTGTTCTATTTAGTTTTCAGAAATGCACAAAACCAATTACCAAACAAGAAGATGAAGCCGACATCTGGCTTTATTTGGGATTATTCCTTTGGGAGGATTAGGGTAAGAGAGACAAATGGTGATGCCACTTACCTTCTTCTGGCAGAAGCAGGAACCTGAGCCGAAGCGGTAGCTGTGGTGCACTACTTAAAACTGCTTGTGGATCCCCCTTTTGAAGGCTGGGAGGTCTGGTTTGCAGCGTGGCAGAGGTTTGTGCAGCCCTAGGACTGTGTAGCCGCATGCCAGTCCAGGACAGCGTTTGCACCCCTGCCCCACGTCACTGGCTGAGCCAGCCCGGCTGCTCTCCGGCAGGATTGCAATGCTGGAACAGCACCAGGGAACACTGTCAGGGATCAGGATCACATCCATTTTATTTCCCTACGCTTTTTGAACCTTTCGTATGAATACTACTCAGATGTCAGGACCAGATACGTTCACACTGTATGATTTTGCTATTTTACTCCAACAGGGTACAGATGGTTGGTAAAAATCCTTTGAGACTGAGTAGGACCTTAGGCTTTTGGTCTGTAATTTTAAATGTGTGATTAAAACAGCACAGATTTTTTTTTTTCTTCTTAAAATATTACCCAAAGAGCCACTTGAGCCGAAGCTACATTTTATGGTGAGGTTCATTTACACATCACATCACTACACAGTGTGAGTGAGGCAACTAGGATCTGGGCCATAGTCATTTGGAATAAGAGTTTACAGTGCCTCTGATCTCACTACAAAATACTCAGTTAAAAGTAGCCCAATTGACATTGTAAGACCTATAAAGGCTCTGATCTAGCAAAGCACTCACATCTCTGCTTAACTGCAAGCTTCTGATTAGTCCTATTTAAGACCATAAATTTTCCAGTAACTTCAAAGAAAGTCCTGTGCTAAAGTTCTTCCTTGTACCCGGGCCAAAACTGTTAATGGTAAAAGTAGAACGTAACGGATTTCAAATCTGTGAAGAATTTAAAGGCTTTTAACTTCTGCCATGTTAAAGAATTTATGTGAATTAATTCCTTAAGTTATTATAAAGAAATTCAATTAATAATGGATCTGCTTTTCATTATGATAAGTAATCAAGGATGAACATCTTCTATATCAAAGCTTATCTGTTAAAAAGGATAAATTAGCTATAATGCACTTAACTACTTCCAGAACATGAAATGAACACGTATTGTTCCATTAGTTAATTTTGGATCACTAAATTAAAGACAGTTCAAAAGGAGTGTAATCTCATAAGGATCTCTCTTTGTTCAGTCTGTTGTGACTTATTTCACGAGGTACAATAAATACTGTTTCTTGTGGGGCTAAATACTATTAGGGTTATAAAATGGTTATGTTTTAGTATATTTTATGCATTAGTATGAGTTATATACCACAAGGGTAAGAAGATTTTTATCTGGTATTTGCAGATGCAGTTTTGTACTCCTGCATATCTTGTAGGCTATCGGATGCTTAAGACTACTAAAAGCTGCGCAATAAAACAATAAATGCAATAAATAAACAATAAAACAACATCTGGAATGTAACCTTTTACCCATGAAAACATGGATGTGTATGTACTAGTAAATTAATCCAGGCCAGGGCATGGGCATAGGCCTGTCATCATCTCTCCTGTTGAATTAGCAAGCACATCTCCTGGCATGCTTTTGGCCAGCTAGCACCCTCCAAGGAATGCCTGGACATATTTGGGGTTAGGATTGGCCATCATTCGTTCCCAAAGGCAGCTGTGATTCGGCCATCCTGTCCATGGGGATAAAAGGGAGTTTAGCCACCTTGATGCAGCGTGCCTCACAAGTTGTCCCTGAGACCAGAGAATAGCCTTGACCTGTTCTATGTGGTAGTATAGATGTAGTTCTGAAGTACAGAAAATAAGACAGGGTGTAAAAACGTAGAATTAGATTCTACCTACTGCTTAACGTAGTCTTTGTTTACTTAGGCACTTAGGGCTTTTTATAACCTATAGCATAACCTCCTAAATTTAATTTACAGTGCAGAAATACAGTGGGTAACTATGCAAATAACTTCAGTGACTGCAACGCAAACTTCTTAGCATTTTCCGTGGGTATCTCCAAGACTTCTGTGTTCTCAGAGAAGAAACAGCACCAGCAGAAAAGTACCTTATTCTTCTTAAGCATCTTTAGTTCAGGTTGGGGCTTCTGTGGTCACACCTTGTGTCAAAAAGTGTCAGCCTCTTCATGAAACAGGTTAACTTCGTTGCTAAGTTAGCAGAGGTAGCATGTTTAAAAGAAAAATTATAAGGCAGAACATTGCTGGGAACAGTGCTGGGACACGTTCACGGAAACTCAGAAAGATACTTGGGCAGTTGTGTCACACACAGAGGGAGAGACCCCAGACTGTCACATCATTGCTTTAAGGGCTTGATTCTGTCTGTCTGGCTGATGCTGACGGTGTTTGCTTTCTCTGTCACCATTAAAATCAGTGGGCTTTTCCTCAAAGCCTCCGTGAATTAGAGATAATTGTATTGAACGGCCACAGTATGAGGCCGAAAGCAAGGTCAAGATGAGAGGGACCACACTGGGAACATAGTTCTGTATGGATATTGTCTTCCTAGTGCGAGGAAAGCTCACCACCTTTCCCTGTAGTGCCTGTATCTGCAGTGAGAGGTTGACCATGGATGGATGGATAGAGAGATTGCATGTGGATGATTATATGCAGAAAATTAGCTTCATTTCCTACCCGCTTGCACCTTGTGTTATCTGTTTTGTATCAAAACAAAGGCAGTGGATTACACCATGTAATTCAGCTACAGCATGTCAGCTTTGTACAAGCAACTCCCCATCACCAAGCCTTCTCTTACACTTCCAGACTGCACCTGGGGACCGACTACGTCAGTTCATAGAAAAGCAGCTTAGCATACCCTGATATGCTCGTCCTGTGCTACTCTGACCTTTGCCAGCACTTGAGCTTCCCAGTTCCAACACAGAGTGGCTAGAGGCAAAGCTTTTTCAAAGATGGGATCTCTTCCCCATTAGCGTTCACTGCCCTTAGATAGTCCCCTCGCGTTTGCTGAGCTGCCAGGGCTGCCGGTTCCCTCAGGATTTTGTTTGTAGATGTCAGAAGCTGCAACACTTCACTGAAACATGCCTGCCATTGAGATCCCTGTGGCAGCATTAGAGTGAGATGCATTTTAAATCTTTTAAACCATTTGATCCATTTCATAACTATATAGTAAGTAAGCAGGTCTGGCAGATTTTCTCATTCTGAGTACCTCTGGCAAGGCAGTACGGAGTAAGTGGCTAATTTGTCATCCATTGCGGTGTTGAGCATCCTTGCTCTAGGTTGGGGAGCTGAAGTCTTGAGAGGGATTTTTTGTTCCTTGACTAGCTTTTATCCACAAGACAAATTTGGATTCCAATATGTCTGTACCATATAAAGTACATTTTCAATTGTGCCGTTCCTCAGTTAAACAACTGATGGTGGGGAAGGGTCAATTTTAATTCATTGATGGGTAGGATTTCTCCTAATCCATGCATTTTGGAAAATAGAGATATAAAGATAGTTGTTAGCTAATGCTTTAAGAATTGAAGCTTAGTGCTAAGGAATAATAACTGGTAACTCTGAAGAACTAGATTGTCTCAGGTGCACATTAAATCACATTATCTGCTAGTAAATTAATCTTGCTTTTTTTTTCCCCATTGCAGTTCCAAAGGATACAATCTTACATTGTCCTGAGCTTGAGCAGTAAAGGATAAATTTGTTCACTGGCTGACTCGACATCTCTTCATTGTGATGGAAAAATGGTCGCCTAAAATAAACCCTTTGTTATGCTGCTAAAAACACAAACCCAAAAATGTCAGAATCCGACCCTTCATCTGGATTTGTAGGAAACATGGAAAATGGGACTTTTCTGGAGCTGTATCCCACATCTCTTTCAACTTCAGTGGATTCATCACCTGGCCGTTTATCCAATGTCTATGTCTATGTTTCTATATTCCTTAGTCTCTTAGCTTTTCTCCTTTTGCTATTGATCATTGCACTTCAGAGGCTGAAAAACATAATTTCTTCCAGTTCCTCCTACCCAGAATATAATAGCGATGCTGGAAGTTCTTTCACTAATTTAGAGGTTTGTAGTATTTCTTCCCAGCGCTCTGCTCTCTCAAACCTTTCTTCATGAAACTAAATGAAAGGAAATGCACAGGGAATGGAAGAGCTTTGTCTAGTTTCTTGGGGAGGTAGTGCATGCAACATTTGCCTTAGAAGACTATTATGAAGAGGTGGCTTTTAAAGTTTCCTTAGGGTTTTTTTTTTCATTTCCTTTTCTAGTCTTCATTTCCCCTTTTACTAATGTTCCTTTTCATTTTGGACAATGGATAATGACACTTGATCATCGTTTCATGCCTGTAATAGTGACGCTGTCTCTTTCTCACACATACACGGTGTTCATTAAGAGTATTCCTGCCAAATTGTAATGCGGTTCTAACTGGATGTGTCATTTTTCTGCTCTAGTTGTGACCCCTTCCCTCATTTTGAATTAATAATATGCTGACTACTTTTCTTTTTCCTTTTTTAATTAGATAAGGACTGCTGGATGAAATCCCTATTGCAAAAGTATCAAAAATCAGCTTAAATTATAAATATAGTCCTTGGGACAATTTGAAGTTGTTGGTATTGTTTCTTTTTGAATTTTCACGTCTTTTTCAGTATTTATTGATGTTTGTAAAACACAACTAAAATCCATTTCTTGAAGAATGTTACTTTTGTTTATTTGTACTCCCAACTCGTTCTGTATAAAGTCTCTGTATTTCAGTTTTTGAATCTCTTTGGTTAACCTAGTAAAGTGACTACAATAACGATGTTCACTGCTGAATGTGTGGAGGTATTTTCGGACCCCATTGCATCTAATTTGCCTAATGACTTGTTCCTCCAGGGGGCAGCTTTTGCTGCTGAATCATATATATCACACAACTCCTTTGCATCCTTCACTGATCCTGTAGCTTATTCTTGATGGATACCAGTACAAATCAGTGGTTTCTTGTAAAAGATCTGCATACAACAACCATAGCTGGCCCCTGAATAGCTCCTGTAACTGTCCTTTAGGCGTGAGATGTTTGTACTCACGTAAGCAGGGCCAGCGGGGGCAGAAATTGATTGTAGCGGTGAAGATTTTCTGGACAAGATTTTGTCCTGTAATTTCACAAATGCACACTGGGGTGGAGGGGGGAGATGAGGATCTGTGTGATGGCCAGGCAGACCTGTGCTCTGACACTGAGGAGGTGCAAAGTGTACCTGCAGAGGGTAGGAGGAGATGGGAAGGAAAAAGGCAGTGGCTCTGCCCCTTTTCTCCATCAGCATAAGAAGAAGCCAGAGATGAGGGGGTGAGAAATGGATGAGCTTTCACAATCTCACTCCTCTTTGTGATGCCGTAATCTGGGTTATGATTTCCCCCTGCCCAAAATGTAACCCAGCACTCAGTTTCTGCAGTAATTATCAGCATTGTGAGCAGGATCCTGTGGTCAGCTGGGAATTCAATCAAGCTAAATGATCAATGAAATGCCAAGTGTGACCTGCTAGGATTGCAGCCCAACACCATGCAGTGTGATTCCTTGCTGTCCTTACTGCACTATGTGAGCATAGCCCAGTCCTGCCACTCAAGTCCATGCAAATTTTGCTCTCATGGCAGGATCCAAGTCACTGGAGAGGCCCAAGGAAGGGTATGGAAATGTCACTGCCATTTCTGTTGCTGGTATAACAGCATGCGTAGCTCTGGGCAATGGGCCGGTCTCAGCAGGACCGCAGGGTGACTGCTCTCCCCACTCATGCACAGCGCTACTGCCCAGCAGGCTGACGGGTTAGGGAGCTGCAGAAGACCTCCCGACCAGATTTTTTACAAACACCCTCCCGCCAAGCTGTCAACGCATTCATCAGCAAGACACATTCTGCCATTAACTACACAGGCTTTAAAAGATAAATGTGGAAAGCCCAGTGTAAAAATTATCATTAGAAATGCAGCTGTTCAGTGCCAAACAACATACAGATGATGCTGGAGTTGGTGTTGTCAATTTTTAAAAGTGAACCTACAGTACGGTAAGTGGTAATGACTTACGGTGGTGATTAGCTCCTTACAAAGGTCAAAGAACTTGCTGACTAATAAAGAACTTAAGCCTGCACATTCTCTGAGCCAAACTGGTTTTAAGAATATATTTAGTCTCTGGAATATTTTATTCATCTAGACAGAAATTTCTTGTAAGTCACTTTTCACTGTAATTGATAATAGGCTTTGGGAAAAGAGTTAACTATTTAAAAGGGATCAGAAAACATTCTTTCCTTTCTGAAAGCTCTTCCAAATCCCAAACCTGTAACAGAAGGTATTTGTGTGTTGACTGGTACATAAAAATAAATGAACTGTAAATCAAGATGAAGCAACTGTTCAACTATCTTCTCTTACCTACAAAGTTGTAAATTTGTTGCTTCCTTTGCTGCAAATGCAGGAATTTAATCAAAACCAGGGATGAGACCACAGCTTGAGATGGATATTTGTTCCCAGCGATATGTTTCCCATTACTAGTTTATGCTTGCGGACACAGAGACATTTAATATTAAATACAGACTGTTGAAAACGCATTGGCTTTATTCAATCAGCTGTTGTCAAACTTCACAAGAGCAAAAAGTATTTTTCAGACTGCACAAAGTAGCAAAGGTAACTGAAACCACACACTGGATTTTGCTTTGTACTTTACTAGACGCTATTAATTTTTTTCCACGCTGCAGTGACATATGGGACTATATACAGTCATCACGATTTCAGCTGAGTTGCACCTGTTCTCGTCAGGACAGATTTGAGTAGAAACAAGTTGGACCCAACGGAATGGCATCAGGAGAAGCCACAGGCAAAAAGCACCATGGCATTTTCGAGGATTACTGAGTACTAGTTCTACAACAAAAAAAGAAAAAAGGAAAAAAAAAACAACAACTAACTTGAGAACCTGAGCTTGAGTTAACTTGACCTAGAGTTGCAGGGATTTTCCACCATGGTAAAGTGAAAAACAGATTAGATTTTTCATTTTCATAAAATTTCTGTGTCTTCTACCTCTCCCTCTCTCTGTCTCCCCTTCTGTCACTCACAAACCAGACAGACCCAGGAGCTGGACTCGATGATCCTTGTGGGTCCCTCCCAACTCAGGATATTCTATAAGACCTGGACAGGCTGGAGAAGTGGGCAGAGAGGAATCTCATGAAGTTCAGCAAGGGAAAATGCAAAGTCCTGCACCTGGGGAGGAATAACCCCAGGCACAGGGACAAGCTGGGGGCTGATCAGCTGGAAAACAGCTCTGCAGAGAAGGACCTTGTGGAGAGGGTCCTGGTGGGCAACAAGTTGACCATGGGCCATTAACACACTCTTGCTACAAAGGAGACCAAGACCATCCTGAGCTGCATTATTAGAAGCACTGCCAGCAGGTCAAGGGAGGTGATCCTTCCCCCTGCTCGGCACCGGTGGGACACCTGGATTGCTCTATCCAGTTCTAGGCTCCCCTGTACAAGAGAGATGTGGAGCTACTGGAGTGAGTCCAGTGCAGAGCTACTAAAATGATTAAGGGACTGGAGCATCTCTCATATGAGGAGAGACTGAGAGACCTGGGACAGTTTAGTTTAGAGAAGGCTCAGGAGGTTCTCATCAATGTATATAAATACCTCATGGGAGGGTGGAAGAAGAGGGAGCCAGGCTCTTCTCACTGGTGCCCAGTGACAGGACAAGAGGCAATGGGCACAAACTGAAACACACAAAACATCTGAACACAAGAAAACATTTTACTGTGAGGGTGGTCAAACACAGGGACAGGTTGCCCAGACAGGCTGTGGAGTCTCTATGATGCGTTGGCCTTGGCAACCTGCCTGCAGCTGACCCTGCTTTGGGCAGGAGGGCTGGACCAGATGATCCTCAGAGGTCCCTCATCTATGCTGCGATTGTGTGATTCATGTCAGTGCAAAAACTCCGCGGCTTCCAGCTCCCTGCCTCCTCTGATGTGTTTTCTCAGCTCTGGAGCTGAGTAAACATCTTTACTAGGGGGTGATTTGTTCAATAACTTGTTACTAAAATGCTGCTCTGTTCTTCCTCCTGCCTGCAGCCACATGCTTTTCCAGCTTTTCCAATGCCTTTTTATGGAGTGGGTTCACATTTCACCGTCAGTTTTTGCCCTGGGCCCCTTTTGTTTTTACTAAGCCCTCTGACTGCAACAGTGCTATTAGCCTTGTAATATATGACTCCAAGACTGCATGGCTTCAGGTAGTTGCAAAGTATACCTGGAAATCTACAGAAAGAAAAGTACCAATAAAGCATGCATAAGGAATGAACAGAAGGAGTTTCTGGATTACACAGAAAAAACATTTTGCTTTAGTTCAACAAATATGGTCCATTTAAATGTGTTTAATCAAAGAGTACCTGGTGAAGGCTGTAGCAGCCTCTGCATCTAAGACTCTCTTGCACTGCTGGCCACCCTGGCCCTACTGTCAGGTTTACCCATCATATTCATCTGTCCTTAACATTACCAAACTATTCCCATCCTGAAACAGTGCCACGCTCTTCACTTAGCAACCCTTCAACTCTGTGGAGAGTTTATTCCACTGAATGAATTTTCTGCTTTCAGCCCTTCTCTGTCTGCCAGCTCACCTGAAAGTTTTGTCTCTGTAGGCTTAAAGTCTTGTCTGGTTTTCCTACAAATACCTTTTAACTTGGGAATGATTCTTACTCTTCTTCCACGCAGCTTGTTCACCCTCCCCTTTCACTGTCTAACCCTGTGGTACCCTGGCAAGGCTGGATCCCCATGGAGCATCGTGCTCCACTGTACTTGAGCTTTTTTCCTTCAGAGTCTTTTTTTTTTGGTGAGATCACTGGGAAAGACATCTGTGTGGGAAGGTTATTTACAAAGTCCATATACCTCCCATTCTTCTTGATGGGACCGTTTTTGCTGCATCTGTTACGGTTGTCTAAGGAAACATTGTGAATTACAGCCCAGCTGCTTCCCCAGCTGAATGGCCTTTTCACGTCTGCAGCCCCTCGTATGCTCCCAAAGACAACGGCCCCACTCTGTGGCTACAGCAGAGGATTACATGCCCCAAATTCAGGGTGCAAAAGTAGCCCAAAGTCCTTTTTTTTCCTCCATGAAATGTAGGCTTGCACTTGCCTATGTCTTTAGCATAACACAGAGCAGCCTTCAAGCTGCTTTATACTAAGTGAACTACATGATGCCAGCCAGTCTGACATGCAAACGGGACCCACCTGCAATCACAGCCCTACTCTCACGCCATAGCTCCATAAAACTCCTGGCTCTGTCAGACCACCCATAAATGGGGTGGCCCAAACTGGCCAAGATGCTGTCCCAGGCTGGGGCTTGGCCAGAGACAATTTGCTGATGCCAGATGAAGATGTTTTCACAGCTCCTCCCAGCACTGGAGATAAAAGCAGCACCGGCCACCTGTGTATTCCCTTTCAAGGCGAGGTAACCGAGTTAGTGTAATTGTTGTAATCACTATGCAGGTAACAGCTAAGTAGGACCAGGT